ATATGCAGAAGGAAGTGGAGATGGATTGAACTGGGCATACACTGAGAGGCCAACTGGGGACATCATGCACCAGGCCCTCGAGTGGAACCTAGGTGGGAAACGACGAACTGGTTGTCCGAGGGTGACATGGGTGAGATCGTGTGAGAAGAAATGAGTGCTTCTGGGCTGTTATGGAACCACGTTCAAAAGTTGCAGAGATTAGAGTGCACTGGAGACGTGCTACTGAAGCCCTGTGTTCCACTAGGAACCCAAGGGATAAATAATAATAATAATAATATGATGATTCCTACTGTAAAACAAGCAGGTTTTTTGTTTCATTCAAAGTTGTTGTTGTTTTACAGCGGTCAGTAACTACGTTTTAGTGACCATGATGATAATAAAAATCAAAAAACTACATATAAATTGTAACGGTGACAGCAGATAAAGCCAACTGTGAACATGATGTGAATCTGCTGCAGAAAGAATACAACTATTTCTTGTGTTCAACTTTTTTTATAGGAAATCTGTGATTTATATAACTGTTCATTGTCAGTATTAAATTTTGGCCATTCAATATGAGCTATTCGAATGTACATACTTTGAAAATTGCCCTAGCCTTCTGCAAAAATGTTAAAAAGTTTCACTTACAAAAGATAAACAGTATAGCAATCAAGAAATTATTTTTATTATTAAGTAGATTGATAGGTAAATTCAACCATTGACAGAAATAGCATATTATGTTATAAATTAAAAATTTTCTTCTAATGAGTGTAATATATGCAATAATAGTTAACTGAAGCAAATGTTCAATATTTTCTCCCATCGTATTCAATTTAAAACATCAAAAATAAAAGTCAGACTTGTAAACGAAAATGTCATCAAAATTTTCAAGTGTTACACTTAAGCCAAAGTTGAAAGTTATCAGTAGAGTGGAATAAAAATTAATCTTTATAAAATGATCATATTCTGGAAAAGAAAATAAATGTTTTTCTTTGGTCAGTTCAAATTACTTAACTGATTGAAATATTGTTAATTATTTCTTTAAACCATGACTGTAGTATTGCTGCACTCTTTTTTGCTGTATCCAAGACTTCTTCATGGTTTGCTGTTACGTTACTTTCTACATCCAGAATGCACATATTAGTTACAAGTGAAATAGCAAGCACAGATATCCCACAGTGATGCGCAATTAAAACTTCTGGTACTGTACTCATACCTACAATTAAGAGAACGAAAACAAATTAACACGATCATATGTATATTTCGTTAAGCTAAATAAATAGCTATGACAACCTTTCACTCCTTATTTACTCTTTTTCAATCAATTTGAACGAAATAAGAACATGAATTTCAGTACAAAGCTATAAATATAATTTCTCTTACAGATTTATATTGGTAATATTAACCACAGTGTAATAATTTCACCGAAATTCACATGGTAACTTATCACACTGAACCATGGCAATATTATACTTTACTAGAGAAAATGTTTAACCTGATGATTTTTTTCGCTAAGGACTAGATACTATGTATTCGTGTTTCTAGTGCAACCGGATATTTTTTTCAGTCAGAATAATGATGATGATTTGACTACAAGATCATCGATTGCAGCATATAAAAAATCGGATTAGATAACATTTGTTTTCATAAAGTGAGGAAGTAAGAAGATACATAGCGCAGATTAATCTGAAATTCATCATATAAATATGTCATTCACCCGTAAATATGCATTAGAAATAAGTTAGAATAAACACTATGGACACACTAGTGTTGTGAAAATAGCTAGTCATTTTGAAATTCGATTCCAGGGTTTTTAAGAGTGATTCTAGACGCCAATCTAACAAACGCTGAAATGACCAATCAGATTTTGATATCTCCTATGGGAAGGTAGATTTTTATGAAATAGAAAAACCTAATTGGTTAAATCAGAAGTTTCTAGGGGGACCTTTACAGTTACTCTGTGGTGAGATTAACTGATTTAAAATGAGTGCTGAGAATGAACCGACGTTGTTCAGGAAATTATTGAAGATTTTTGATGAAATAACTTGGCCACGTGGAAACGAATGTTTACACAAGTCCTATAGTACTAGGTTCTTGGCACAAATATGGCTGAACATGGAGAATAAACAAAGAAAAATAACCATTCGAAATGTTACTTGTCGTGCAATATTGGCTCCAACTTACAACAACTTGGATCTCCGTACACTTATGTAAACTGTTACACTGACCCTTTGGCTGTGGTCTTGACTGCTAATTCTGTATTTGTAACCTTGAATTCTGTGTATACATCTAATGAAAGTAGAGATTTCTTATATGCTGGCTGTTGTTGTCAACACTTATTCATTTTAGGGCACGTAAAATGTAAACATTGAGTAATGTCACAAAATATTCAAAAACGAGTGAATAATTTCAGTGACTGGTCACTGCAGAACAACCAATCTTATGTTGTCTGGTTCTGAGGTCCGACTGAATTCTATTGATCATTTTGTAGTGTGACCAACAAGCTAGGAGACTCACCGTCGTGGCGTACTATGACAAATATTAGTTGGTTAGAGGCGATCTGCAGGAAACCCTGGACCTAGGCTCGTGTTTGTTGGTAACCGTCAGCAAGGATATCTGCAACCTCGACGGTGAGTCTCCTAACTTGGTGGCCACGTTGCGAAATGATAGATAGAATTTGGTCACGACGCAGAACTAGACAACATAGGATTGGTTGCCGTCTAGTAACCGATCAACGTTTTTAGTCTAGTCCTACAGGAGGCCATCTACGACCCGAACAACTCAGTGGTAACGTCCCTGACTGCAACACTGTGATGCATGTTCGAATCTCACAGGAGCTATCAATTCCCTAGAGGTTGCGGATACGCCCTGCCGATAAGTGCCAACAAGCACGAAACTTAGGTCCAGGGCTTCCTGTTGATTGGCTTCAACCAACTAAGATCCATCAGAGTGAATACTTTGACTTTGAATAAAAAGATTAGTATAAAGTTCATCATAAAATAAAACAGTTATCACTTTATTTTATACTTTACATTATTCCTAAATAATGGCTACACTATCACAAACATTTTGACGGTATTTGACCCAGTTATTCCAAAGCTTGTTCTTTGCAATTCCACCTCAAGGACCATAAAACACATGGAAGTTATCAAGACGATTTCCACTATATAACAGTAATACTTAAACTTTCGTTTTGTTGTCTGCTATAGTCATGAGATGAAAACCCGGATATTTTCATTTACTTTCATGAAAATTATTCATGCGTATTGATTCAGAAAGACGTTTATGAACCCATTGTAAATCGAATATATATTTCCAATAGCTAGACTTCAAGATAAAAAGCACAGTTACCTAAGAAAGGTGCTTGAAATTTATGCAGATAAAATGTAAGAAATATGCTGCGGCTATAAAACACCACAGTAAGCAGGTTTATCAGTAAAGATTCACAGTAGTAACAGCATAAAAAGTACCATTGCAACAAAGTGTACAAAATTTTATAATTTACGACTTTGAACTATGACTCATTACCAGACATATGCTAAGTGATAAGATCATTTGTTTATTTCTGATACAAACTCAATGTATGATGTAGTACTACTCATTCTATTTTCGAGACATAAGCATTATCTCATCAAATGAAAATGGATTAATTAGCTGTTAGAAATTGTAGCTTTTCTAGACCAACAGAAAAATGTAACTCTTTCATCAAATCACATAGAATATCTCTCAGTGATTGAAACTTGAAGGTATAAAGCAAATAAAACCCACTGAACAATGGATTTTTCCGTAACTTAGATAACTTATGAGATACAGACCACCAATCAACTGTCCTACTGCATGGAAGATTGCCCAACAAAATAGCAGAAAAATGGTGCGTGTAGTGATCTCAAATGTTTAAAAGAGAATAATCAAATATAATAAAATAATTGAAACACAACAACAAATACTGGAACCATTCATCGGAGCCGATTTGATGAGTACATTAACAACACTCATCGATATGAAAACTAAGAACTAAGGCCAAAACAGTAGGAAGAAGTTGAGCGATAAGTTACTTAAGTTATCACAACCAACATAAAGGGGTTTACAATGATGAATGGGTAATGAATCTTTCAGAACGTCCAATGTCTGCAATCGAGATTGATTTACTTCAGAGGGGATTGAACTACAAAGCTAGAAATACAAGCAAACTAGACTTCGGCGCTTCACTGAAGTTCACTTTGAAAACTCCAAAACTATAAATGTTGAGAAATAACAGAAACCATGCCACTCAATTGTACCTCTAGTCAAAATCAAAGGAAATCACCATCTACTAAAAGCAAAAGAAGGGAATGCATTGAAGTCACTAATGATTAATAGGAAAATTATAATATTGCCATCAGATGAAGGAAGAAAAACCTCCATCATGAACACAACAGACTATGGCTAAAGATAAAAGAATTACTTAACGACGAAAGTCTTTACCAAGCGCTTGGTCAAAACCCAATTAAATAGTTAGACAAACAGATCCAAAGAAAACTCAAAAATTCGGTAACATTTAACCGAATCAAAAAAGAAAAACACTTGTGGATGAGGACAAACGTACTAGTCTTGCTGAGGTTCTGCGTTTAACCCAAGATACACGAGATGGGTACTCCACAACGATTATTAGTTTCATAACCAAGGAGTCCTTCATGCAATCAATTGGAAGAACTATATCAAAACCTTTGGCACGTCGTCAATGGAATCGAACATTCAGTCAGTTCGGCAACTGAGTTTTTAGACAAAATAAAAGATTTAAAGATAGACGATGATGATGATGACGATGATATCCTTTCATGTGACTTCACTTTTCACTCCAATCGACCCAAATCTTGCCAAGGAGACAATGAATATTATCTTGAAGAACGATAAAAGAAATTTCGGACTATACGAAAACCAACGTTTTAAACTAATAGAGCTGACTGATATATTACCCACGACCTATTTGCAGTTTAATGAGAAGATTCACAATCAATCAAACAAACGAAAGCAACACCTTTGGGATAGCCAACATCAGGACTGAATGCTAAAGCAGTGATGCAGTGGTTGGAATCAATAGCCATCCCAAATATCAAACCAAAAATTTGGATTCGGCACATTGATGACATGTTCGTGGTTCTTAATGTGGATAGAAAAGAAAACACGTTCCAAATAATCAACCAGACACTTGGAGGAATTCACTTCACAAGGGAGTGAGGAGACAATGACAAAATCCCTTTCTTAGATATCTTCATCACCAGAACTCACGTAGCAACGTTGTAAACGCAAGTGAACGGAAAGAACACGCAGGGAGATCAAATTTTGAAATACAACAGCAACTATCGTGTAGCCCATAAGAAATGTTGTACGCAAACACTTTTATCAAGAGCCAAAACATATTGCAGAGCTGAACCACTAAGTAAACCCGAAGAAAAATACTTTTACAAGGTGGTCAAAGTCCTTCATTATCCACACAACTTTATCAAAAATATTTATCAGCAGAACATATGACATTACAATTCTTCAAGTCATTAAATGCGTTACTCTACACTACATCAAAGATGTCTCAGTAACGGTCAGCCAGTCGCTTAGTCCGTTTGGGATTGGAGTTGCACATAAACCGAAGAAATCACTATAGAGAATGTTATGAAAGCTGAAGGATCAGTTGTCGAAGGAAGATGAGACAAGTTTTATCTACGGGATCGACTGTAAAGATTGTTCTTCACACTACGTTGACCAGTCTAGCAGTCGAATTGTTCAAGGAATTCATGGGCATCTAAGACCATGTAATAAACATGAAGTAACCTTCGTAGTTTCGATGCGTGCAAGCGGTAAAGATCACAAATTCGGCTTGGAGAGTGTGAAAAACCGCTAAAAAGCAAATTCAAAAGGTGCGAAAAAATTCCTAGAAGCATGGCACTTTAACGAAAATTCAATCAACAGACATTCAGATAAAGACCTAATCTATGACCAATTTTTTACAAAAATGCAGCCTTCCGTCAAACAAGGACGAAACTAACTAAACAATTCAATAATGAAGCATAGTATGACAGCAACATGTAGCATAATCTCACTTCAACGAAGATTTTCTATAGCGTGACCGAGTGAAAATTAGTGTCAAAAAAGTCAAGGTGTGACAAGTTTCTCTTCACCAACTAACAACTGGACAACGCTCAAGGTTAGCAAAATCACTGCCTGAACAGTCGTGTAGTATTCGAATATGCTCCACTTCCTTATGAAATTAGTGCTGGTTAGGATATCACCAGGCCTGGTGGTAAAACATCCACGGGCTCAGAGAAAACCAAACCACCATCAGTATAACTTTTGCAGTGAATATTGTTGAGCTTAAATCTGAATACGAACTTGGACGCCGAAATAAACCAAGTAAACTGAATCAAAAATTAAACCAGTCAGTCTGTTTGAATTCACTGATACCTACTACTGGGTTCGATTATTAGTCAAAATTTGTAGAACGTGTTATGAGCCTAGACTTTCAGATTGACAAACAAAAATGATTTTATTTATTTAAATTATTCAGCAGCTTTGAGTAAAAACTAAACTTCATTGTTGAGTGTTATATCATAGTGCATGCCTTGAACTTCGCATGAATGATTTCATGAAATGTGATACCAACTATTTCTAGTAACCACTAGATCAGTGCACCATTGTATAAGCGGAGCAAAGACTTTGTTTTGTAATAGTTTCACGTTATTCTGAATCTCATTCTTATTCCAGCTAGCAAGAATAGCAAACATAGTCACAAGTAGAATTAGACTTATTTGAAAATAAGTCTCCAAATTATCCTCACTTTACAGTGAATTCATGATTCATCATCAAACAGACAAGGATAGTGGGAGTCATCCTTGTATAAAAGTGCAATATTTCTTGTCATGCTTTGAAACAGCTTAGTAAGAGAAAATAAACGAAAAACTAACAATATGAACAAGTAGAAAAGTGTCGGTTGGACGAAAATTGCGAGTAGAGTTTCGAGAAAATCAAAACGTTGGAAAAATAAGTACAATTAATACGATTTCACAAGTTTAGTCATTTTTGGACCATATCACCTAACGTTTTCAGTTATTGGGTAACAACAACTCATCGGCTTCAAGAAGTTACTCTACACTCCTAAACGCAGCTCGCATCATAAGTACTGATATCGTAGGTTGGTGCCATACCGCAGTATGGTCACAGTGAGCAATCTTGACGTGCATTTCACCAGTAATGTAGGATAGAATATATGAAAACTGTTGGAATTACTTACAAAGCTGTAACTAAATTTATCCAATAAAGTTTTGTAAATATTTTTCTGCAGTGACTTACCGACGATGTCTGCGCCCATGGACAGTAACATCTTACATTCAGCTGGTGATTCATATGTTGGACCACCAGCAAAAGCATATACACCCTCATGAACCAAATGGCGAATATTTAGCTTCTCCGATAACTGAATAGATAATTTACGAAGTTCAGGATTGTAAGCATTTGAGGTTGCCAAAAACCGCGGTCCGAACCTATAAACACATGTAATGAACAGAAATCGAAGCGTACTTGTCTTCGTTTGGTCCCAATAATACGTTATTCAGTGAAAGTCCGGGTAAGCTGATATGATCTTTCACCACTACAAAATTTCCACAACTCAAACTCCTGTTGAGTCCACCGGAGGCATTGCTTACTAAAAGCACCTTCACACCCAAAATTTTCATCACACGAATCGGAATGGCAATCTTTTGTGAATGAGCTATGTAGAATGCAACTTACTTCTTGTGAAGTGTATCCTTCATACATGTGGAACCTTCCTTGCATAGCCACCACTGAGCGTGTACCAAGTTTACCAAATACCAGGTTACCAGCATGTCCAGCAACTGGAATCAATAAAAAATTTAAGCCATACCGCTTGTTCGTGGGAAATCGGGTATATCTTCGTATCGCAAAACAGTTTTATTCTCAATCCCATCGGCTAAGTTTCCAAGCCCACTTCCGCAGATTATCCCTACCTCTGGAACAATGGATACATGCTTCTTAATGTAACCTGCTATTTTGCAAACATTTTCATAGCTAGCAGAATTTGCCTGAGACCTAAATTTCAAATCAGTTGACATGTATTTGAACGTACATTCAAATGAGACCTATGAAATTAGGAAATAGAAAAAAAACCATTTATATTCAGCTTTAGACAAACTTTAGAATTTTGTAGCCGAATTCTATATAAATTTTTTTGAAAATCTTGACCATTTTTACAGAAGTCTATGCCAGATTATTGCAATCAGTTTCTGTAATACTGAGTATAATAAACTCTTAGAATTAGTTATCAATAAAAAAATTGAACTCACAAATGTTTAAGCTTTTTCTATTATGAAACGGAGACTTTATTTTTGATGGGTTTTTCGAAAAAAGTAAGTGAGATCTTTCGAAATATTTCAGATTCCATTACTACGGAACATATTTTTGAGATGAGTGATAGCCCAATAGAAAGTATGAATTCATTTTAAATCACATACAGGTGGAGTAATCAAGTGGGTTTAAATGATGTGGTTTTACTGAGCAATAAAATTAAGTACTCCCAAGAATTTCAGAGAATTTAGTTGGTTGTATCCAACAGTGAGTATCATTCAAACTCGTGGACGCGAACTTATACCACTTGTCTAGATATTTTGATTAGCTTTTGTATATATTATTTACAACATCTTAATATTTCTTTAAGAAACTAGTTTCAAAGTGCTACCATTTGGAGAAGCGTACTTGAATGGAATAAGAAATCAACTATGAAACATTTTGAAACATTCTGCATCATAAAGGTCAGTGTTTGGAGTTCCACTGTTATGAATTATACTGTGTAACGATTGTCTAACTACTTTTAGCCCTAGATCTCACTGTCATAATATTTACGGTTGCTGTTATTAGATACAAAGTCTGTTGTCAAGGCTCAAAGAGTTGATATCTTGATAAAACTACTGAAAACAAAAAAATTCAACAGTCATACAGTCGTTGTGGTTTGGTCAGCAGCCTATCTGACAAATGATTTTTATTTGCGTTATTGTGAATCTGTCTCGATATGATCTGTATGATTGAAATTTTCTCCGTCAACTACACTTGCATTTAACATGATAAGTTTTGCAACCTACATCACTACGTGAAGAAAGTATTTAACTTGCCAATTCTTGGCAATTCACATGTTGTTTGTCACTATTATTCGTAAGCGTTTCTCCAGGTCTTAGTAGTTAAATAACCGCATAATCTAAACATAATTTAGTGTATAAAAACTGTATATTTGCCAGTCAATGTACTTTCAGCTTGTTAATTTTTAGTGTTGCAAACAGTGTCTGAATGTGTGAGATCTAGATAGCCTTGGAAGAAATTATCAGGGATAATGTATTTGGATACCGTCCATGCTAATATAAAATTTTTACTAACGACGACTGTTTGATTAGAAATTACTTACGCCAGAAATGCGATAAATTCAGACACATTTGAAAATCTCAGTGTACCAGTTATAGTTCCTAGTTTGTTAGCTCAATTAAGGCTAGCCCACTGTTTTCCAATAAGTATTGTTTAACTAAGAGCTCGAGTTTTATAGGTTTTCTTATCAATAACGTGAAAACTTGAACTTGTTATTCGACATTCACATTTAGAAGGTTTATTTTATTTTACTTATTAGGTGAACGCAGTGCTGGCAGAAAGAAAACCTTCAGAGCAGCTAATAATGTTTTGATAATAGACATTCGTCATGTCTTATTGCCGACAAATGTATGATAAACATTCATAGATCGATGTAGAACTTGACACAAAAGGACACTGACTCAAATTGCCACAAGCTGTGACATCATAGAAAGATGAAACCAACAGAACTCGAAGGAATTCAAATTAGGTCAAAGGAAACAAAGTTTATGAAAAGACACAATATACTTATTCTTGATAAGAAAAAAGGGACTACTTCCCAGCATAACCTGCTGATTACTAAAACGACTCAAAAATATATCAGATAATAAGGAACGGTGAAATTTAAAAGACAGAAAGACAGATAAACAGGCCAAATCAACCAAGAACCTCAAAAAACAGGTGTATCGCCCTCACTTTCTACAAATCACAGTAGAACACAAAGAACAGTTGGATAGGAAAAGAAAGATATCAAAGTAAACAAAGTTGTTGGAGAGAAAAAACAGTTTAAGGATAAATCGCAGTGCTAATATTCAAGCTTTAGACGATGATGAGGAGTAAATAGATCTGCTCCATTGTGACTGATTCTCAACCAAGTCACCAAGAATTCTCAACCCCTGATTATAACCGTCTCGGCTGCAGTCTACATCGCCCCCACACGGGTCAGACAAAGGGTCAGAAATGTCATGAACTACTGCCACGTTTTGGTTCGGACACTGTGAACCCTCTTCCAACCTAATCCTTATTCCCCTAACGTGAGACGCCGAGGTAGCTGGTGGATAGGCGCGCGCAGCACATTTCCGAGCCACCTCAGTCAATGGGGGTTCAAAACTTCATCAATAGACTTACCTCTCTTGTTTAGTACTCTTCGTCTGGCCTCAAAATTGCTCATATAGTGGTTTTACAAAGTGACAGCAATGCTACGAAGAAACCTACCGTCAAAGCTATGTAACTACTTCTACTTTTAACGGGTATGTCTCACAGCCCTATTACAAGACAGAACGGGCTGCAGTGTATTATACTCGTCCTCTGATAAATAGTTGGATATGTTGCCAGTGCCACAGATGACGCAGGTTGGCACTTAAACTTTATTTGTAACTCATATAGCTTCCCAAAGTTCTTATGTGTCCGAAGTTTTTCACCGTGCGTGACCCTCAGTTACACTAGCAGTGAACGGACACAATGTTTTGTAAACACTGATGGTCACTTTAAAATCTATGAAGGGCCTAAATAATTTTCACACATTTTTTTAAAAATCGCCTTATATTGGAACAATTATCAGTCATGGGAAGTAACACATAACAGAAAAAGAAAATATACATTTCAAAAACGAACAAACGTTTGCTTAGAAAGTTATAAGTCATGGCTTTTACTTAAAAGTGATTTTTCATTACAGTTCAGGTACATCATCCACCTATCAATGTCTGTTTCTATTTATTCCTCCTCCTCTTTAAAATTTCATATTTAAACCTACATCTACATCAAAGCTAGGATTTACAAACAATACTTTAGATTATAACACGGTAATCACCAAGCCTTTCGAGTAGTGAAACAAAGTTTGTTTATGATCTCTAGAGTAAGTATTATACTTTGACAACTTATCTTGTTCAAAGTAAAAAAGGGTACTATGCCTGACTTCGTAATAAGTTGGAAACAAGATTTAACAACAAAAATATATATTAGAAAAAATCGAAGGCCTGTTAGGATCGATTGTTTCATTTCAAAGTAGTGTTCATTATCGAACGAAATCAGGTGAAGAAGCGTTGGAAACCTGGGATCTTTGAACAGCTGTTTCCTCATAGGATTGGACTTCCCAGCTGTACGCACCCATTACCCCGCCAAGGATCGAACTTGGGGCCTTTAGGTCTATCTGGGAACATTCTGCCTTTCAGCTACTGCGTCAGAACAATCCTAGAAATAAGTGAAAATGTCTACAAAACTTACAGCGCTGTACACAAGATCTAAAGGAAATTCCATTCAATCCTTCATTCACTAATTCAAACTATTCCCTTTACACGAAATATCATCCGGTTTACTATCTAATACTGGTATGATGTTTTCACAATAATGGTTTCAGTAGTTATATGCTTGACCTATATACTCTCACCAGAATTGTTTATTTTTGAAAGCCCATAAGAATATTTAAATGCAAGGCAAACTATTGGGAATTAGCATTTGTTACACAGAGTGGTCAACGATAAGTGCTCCTGACACACTGAGTATCGGCTTTTATAACAGACCTGGGTCTTTGCATACGTACTAAAAAGAAGAATCAGAGGGATCAACTTGCAGGCTGCTCTTAATGATGAAAGCTAGAATAAATAAAGACAACATTTCCGCTGAGCACTAAATATGTTCTGAAAAAAAAGCTCAAAACTTGTCTATGATTAGTCTTTCAGTAAGTAGGTGTGCAAAGCAGGTTGAATTATGGCCATGAAGATAAACGAAGAGAGGGGATTTTCAAAAAAGTTCTTTTATTCATTATGATCGAAACGCAGGGTAGTAGGAATCCAAGCCCATTGGAAAAGTTCCTGAACAGTCAGTGATATAATTCACCACATGATCAGAAATTATGTAAAATTTTTGACCAGTTGTAGAACGCCGCTCCTTATCTACTAATTTATCTGAGATTTCTGGAGTTTTAATCTTTTCAAAATTCACACACTTATCTCATCTTTACTCCTGGGGATTTTCTTTTACGTCTTGCATAAAACTCTTAAGCAGTTGACTTAAAAATGATCGTGAATCTCAATGTGCACAATTTCAGAAAAAATTACAAGATGTAGTACCATTCTTTTGAATGAAAGCAAGTATGAAGTACAGACCAAATACACAGATTAGATGAGACTAAATAATACTGCGAGGGGAAACGCCATCACCGTATAGCTTCTAAAGTGGAACCTGCAAGCGCTTAGAATATCATTGTTATTTTGAAAACAGAAGGATGTTTAGAATAGGAAACATATGACACTTCTCGAAGATTCAATTCTTGGAGAGTGCCTGATGCAGTCACTTTGGGTTTGTTTGAAATGAAAGTAATAATGGTTTGTCTACTAAAAAATGTTAGTCATGACTGTAGAATTACTGAAATACTACTAATTGAAACACTCTGAGAACTACTTCATATCCGGAAAGGTTATGGTAAGGAATATTCCTTTCAACACTGTCAAAACACGTTATTTTTATATCATCGACAATACGTGATAAGTATCAGAAAGAAAGCCAAAGGTTTAAAAATACGCAAGTGAGACCATGTTCTGCCTAGTACTTTAGTTAAAATTGACAGCTTTCAGAAAAGTCCTCAAAGCATGTTAGCCAGGTCTTTGATTTGTTACACTGTTGTGACAACTTCAAATTCTGGTCAATATTTCTAAAACACTTCTGCAGCGTACAGGTTAGGTCAACTAACCGAATTCAAACTGAAATTCAGAGAGAAAAAGGGAGAAATTAGGGAAATTCGTCTAATACTTCGTGACCTTATTGAAATATAGTGTAATCCTGATTGTTTCCTATTTACCTCTTCCTCATTGTCAAGCGTTTTTAACTCCTGAGGTAGTCTGAAAGCAGTGCATACAAATATGACTTGTGAGACAACTAGACGTTTGAGTGACCGTTAAATGAGAAAGAATATGCATTATTTATACGAAAAAGAAAGCACTGCTATGATAGTCAGAAAATTTGACGCCAGACAATCATTCAGAATGACATCAAAAATAAGAGGCTTTGAATTTCTACAGTTAGAAGGTAACAATTGTTACTAGAAGTGCTATTCTGTTAACAAAACAGCACTTGTAGTTTTACAGGGTTTATGAATAAAATAAACTCTTCAGAGTAAGGAGTAAGTTGCTCGTGAGCAACACACGGGGGAATGATTAGAAATTTTTCTCAAAGTTAAAGAAGAAAAGATGCAGAGGGAAGAAATGAACTCTCCATGAAAGGGTAAAAGACACATGGTGGTTACTGGAGTGATGAAAAAACCAAAGATGCACATCTATCAAATGAACGTCATTTCAAAATTGAAACAAGTATCATTTTCAAGTGAAAAAACGAAAGTAAGATAATAAGTATTATCTTCCCGACAAACTTACGGGATGCAGAAAAAAGTGATAGCGAATTGCGAACTTAAATAACCGCCCTTAGTGCAAAGTTTAGGTTTTATTTTCATCTATGAGAAATAACAAAGTTTATGAGTGATTTCAATTATTTCTTATGAGTTTAAGTACAGTTGACACTGTTTGTTGCGGCAAAATTTTCAGCAAAGAATACTGAGACATTCTTCTGAGTTTCCACTGTATGACTGAATGTAAATGAAAACACCACAGGCAAACATCTTTCAATCAACAACTTGTCATTTACATCATAAATGGTTGAGAACAGAATGTTCTTCACTCGCAACTTCTCGTGTTTATTCTTCGTCATAAATAGTTTATATTGTGGTTTCCTGGCAATAAAGTAGGGAAACGGTCTAGAATACAAAGGCCACATGAAAAACACATGGGATAAGCGGTAAGCTGTTGAGGCTTTAAAGATTGTCCTTGTGAGAACTTGACAGACGCACAGACCAATCACTAGTTATTCGTACTTGTTAAACACCCACGAACATTAGACCAAGAAAGAACACAATAGCGTGGTTAGTTGGAATAGTATATTTGTGCGGTCGTGTCAAGATACCCATGAGTTTCAACTAACTGGCTAGAGGGTCGACTACGAGCAATACAACGTAACACGACAGCATGCCAATGGCCTAGAAACTGAATCGGGCGTCTTCAGCACAGCGAGTGCGGTTAACCTGTGAAGATCTGCACCAATGTTGAGTCTCTTCGAACCCTAGGCTATTGATTCTGGAGAAGTGCGTAAGGCTAAGGATCACTCCCCCTTAGTGAGCCCGTGCGGACCTTAGGTTAATACAGGCCGGAAGTAAGAACCCAGTGAGCTCTTTCGATAGGATCACTGAGAGAAATGGCCCCTGGTTGTCCCAACTTATCCTAGGGTGTTGTGGAGAATGAAAAATGAAATACTACAAATCGAAATGTATGTCGATCGCGATCCCGTGTCCTTTGACGCTCCGTTCAGTGCTCATTGAACCTGGAATATATATAAGAGCCTTTAATACCACAACAAAGTTTCGTGGAAATGGGAAGCATCATAAATAAATATGTCGAAAGTAAATTTTGCACTTATTTCCATTTAGCTTTTTGAAAAAGTGTGACTACGTGGTAGTGACAATTGAAAGAAAAAGGGGAAAAGTTGGTGGATTTTTGCGTTTCGGGTAAAAAATTCTAAAAATGGTGTTTCCAAAAGAAATTGAGTGTAAAAATGGATGGCACATTTTAGGTCGAACTACGTGGTTGATTATGTGTTTAAGTACTCCAAGGGCCTGACGGTTTGACCTGATCCTGCATCTTATTGTGCCGGTGGTTAACGCGTCTGTGTGGTACCAGGTACATCATCAAGAACTTTGATATTTAGGCTGCGTCTTTTGCAAACCATATCCAGTTGTGATGCCCAAGAACTACTTGGAGCTCTGATAATGTCCGGTTCAAGCATATGTTCGAGTTCACTTTTCGCCGTTTTGAGCTTATCAGGGGCTAGACGGCGCACTTTGGATACCACAGGTGGACCTGTGGTTGTGATATGATGCATAAAATTTCTGGTTACGCACGAAGAGTGTGCTTCGGTCTTCGCAACCCTGGATATTTCTTCAAAACTGCTTAGTAGGATGCGTCGCCTGAGTGCTTAGTTCTAACGATGGCCAAACTCGGATCTACAAAGGTGGTGCCGCCAGTAGATAAGTTTGCGGTGTTAGCTGTCAGGCACCAACGACAAGCATCTACGAGTAGATCGTAATGGCTCAGCGAATTGATGCCGGTGATGGGCATATTAACGTCAGCCAGGAGGAAAATCAGATGAATAGGTTTAAGTACACCTAAGTTGAGGTGGACATACAGTCTCCCAAATGTTGTGATCTGCTTGCCACTAGCTACCCCAGGATAAAAGAATGGGTCATGATGAAATTCTTTAGTCGGTGTGGGAAGAACACCAACTTCTGCACCGGTGCCAATGAGGTAGCTAACTGTTGTTCTTATACCGGTAACGTAGAGCAAACGGCTGTTACTGCCGGCTACGGTTGCCGCGGACGCATGGCAGCGGGACGGTTTCCTGAGTATTTGTGTTGAAACTTCATGGCTTCCGACATTTCCTGGCTTCGTCCCCAGAGGCATTGGAAAGCAGCACCATTTAGGGTCTACAACTCTGTCTTGTTTAGTTTCTTGACAGCCACGCGATTCGCTGCGCTAGCGTTTCAAATGGCCTGGATGCTGAACCGGGCATCTCTAGCTCAGCGAGTCCAGTTAAACTGTGAAGGTCAGCGTCTATGTTGAGCCTCTCCGAACCCTGCGTGACTCTTTAATACCATCGTCGACACCAGATTCCAAAGATGACTTTTGTGGTATACAGTGGATAAAATTTCATGGCCATCGTTTCTGAAACTTCTAGCCACCTTGTGCCAGGTGATAACCTGGGGTTAACCTTATTCTCTGAAACGGCTGCCGAGCATATAAAGCTGGAGTTACTGCCTTCCCTGGGAACCGACACAGCAGCAGAATTTTATGAATGGTAAGCAGACGTGAATGATATACTCGCCTTTGTTGATAACACTTCGGTAGGGCGGGATTTAAATACATCTCCGATTTATCAACAATCGCAGATCTCCCTTTGGCAGTCTTATAATTTTCGATCGGATGCGTTTTTTGACCAGTTTGTAGAACGCCTTCATTTGGATGTTCTTGCAGCGCTCAGAGGCAGTTGGTCTTCCACCCAGAAGTTTCGTCCAACATTTTGGGATGCTAATAAAGTCGAATATGACTAGCACTTGGCGTTCAGTCATGGTCCCAGTAGACGGTGACAAACTCCCAAATCGCAGTTTGACAAGGCGTCCGTTTTCCCGCAGCCAAAATGTCACTTCTGTGGTTTTATCTATGACTTTAAGGTCCAGTGGACTTTGCGGCTTGTAATAAACTATCTTCCATTCAGCATAAATCTAGTGCACGTGCAGTGCACTGAGGGAACACAAATATAGTGTTTTATTGAAACGCTGCTTTGTTTTATCAAGAAAGTTGAACATCCGCCTCGCTACTTGGCATCCAATCGGAATGCTGCCTTTCTGACCGCTAGATATGTCATCTTAGTGGCCCATTTTGGATGACGTGTCTCATAATAGCTGCTTCTTTGTTTATTTACTCATGTTGCGGCCGTTGTTGACGTTGTGCTATGTTTGTCACGTCCGCTTTGTTGGTCACATGTGTGGTTCACTGATCTTCTTGCTTCTAATGTTTCGATGCATAGATCGGCTACAACTGGTGCGTCTTCCACGTGTGTTTGTCGAGTTGTATTGGTTCATGTCATTTGAATGGATTTGTGTATATTTGTGAGTGTTTTATCGTTCTCGTTCCGTTGGACGACGGCTTGACGATGAAAATCTTACTATGCTGCCTGCTTCCTAAATTCCTTGTACGTTAGCAGCCCAGATCAGTGTATCCAAACAACAGGTGCCGATGTAAGTGCTTTCCATTCTTGCCTGAAGCAGTGTTGCTTGGTGCTGTCATACACATTTTATTATTGTAAAATCAGCGAGTTGCGTCTAACGAGGATACAAATCTCCAGAGTTCCTAGAGCCAAAGCGAAACCAATCAAATCCGGAACACTTAGCTAACAAACAGTGAGTGTTTGTTCGGTTGCAGATAAGTTCTTTGAAGTTACAGCAAAATATATGTACAAAAATTTATTTACAAACCTTCGGTTTTTGGGGCTATCCCAGTTCCTGACCAAAATGAAATACAATGATGACACCAATCGAAACAAAAGTTTCCATATGGTCGCATAAGAAATTGAACGGCATCTAACAACACAAATGGTCAATAGTCTTGGATATACGACAAGAATGAAATCAGGCTGAATGAAACATGTTCGACAACGAAAAGAAGCCAGAGAGTAAGGAACCGCACACTTGGGGGTAATCACGGGCTATGGATTGGGACGGAAGTTTAAATCTAAGTACATTGGATGTCGAGCGAGAGTTCGAACTTGCTTTGCGTTCCATCGGTCTGTTTTCCCGAGTGTTTAGGTGATGCATGACCACCACCGTGATCTCGAATGCCAAACAGAATACTCACAGTGCAGACGGTTGGCGGAGGAATAATTAAAGGTTATGAGACCCATGTTGTGCAGTTAGTAAAGGAGGTTATGTCAAGAGATACCTTGTGGTTACCTGAAGAGTATTCGGGGAAGCTCATGTCAGTTAACATTTCCTTCTAGTAACTTTTACCCAGCAGCTTATGAGTCTAAAACAGTTGTGTTCAACAAACTGACGGACGCTGTCCAGGTGCTGTCCTGGTTTGCTCGTTAATGTCAGCATGTAGATCGGCAGCGCCTCAGAAGTAGTGATCGAATCGCCATCTACAAGCAACTCCCGGATTCGACCTATAATTCAAGCTGGACGAGGTAAGCCAATCATCATGGTAACTTCAAACACAGCTACGATTTTGACAGACAGTTCCAGTGACCATCGGCCGGTGATTTTTGGATGGAATAGGTTAGAGCAAATGGATGAACCCGGAGCTACAGGGACGCTTGTTGTGGATTGGACAACGTCGTCGAAGGTGGCTGTGTCGTTTACCTTTCGGAACACAGACAGTGCTATGTGCACTGCAGGTGTGTAGAGCAGTGTGAAAAACGTAAGCACTTGAAGCAAGAGTTTATGTGCACTTTGAGCCTATACGCAGAATGCTGTTCCCGATCGGTACCTCTGTCCGGCATAAATGTGCAGTTAGGAAGAGTGACAACAACATAACGACATCCATTACGAGTTTTACGCGCATGGTCGTATAACCAGAGCGAATGGCCAGGTTAAGAGGGGATATTTGGGTCGCATGTGGATGATTCGCAAGCGACAGCAATCTCTTGCCTTCAGTGATGAAGATCCAACGTTGGGTATTAATACTAATAACATGGAGGGAAGCTTGTATAAGAAGGCGTTAAGAAGAAGCAGATGTCCGCATGTCTACGTAAAAGGCACAAACGCGGGATGGTAGGAGAAGTGGAAGGGAAGGGTTTGAAATGATGTTGCCTTATATTGAGAAGTAAGCCTATGCTGCATCCAGAAGGC